ATTGACAGACTACTATGCACCACTGAATGGGATCTGCTCTTCCCCGCGTGTTTCTTACACTCCCTCCCATCGCTCATGTCGGACCATACCCCGCTGCTACTGCAGGGAGAGCTTAGCCACCATCGGACCACGTCTTTCCGCTTCGAGAATTACTGGACAAAGATGGAAGGCTTTCATGATCTTGTCCATAATTCTTGGAATAGGACGGTCGCCTCGGCTATTCCTATGAAGCGTTTGCACATCAAAATGGCGCGTCTGGCAAAAGCGCTCAAGCGTTGGAAGAAAGACAAGATAGGGGATACAAGGATACAACTCGCAATAGTAAAAGAAGTATTGTTACAATTAGAAGCAGCCCAAGAGCATAGGTTGCTCACTGCCATGGAGCTTCACCTATGTCGCCGCCTCAAATCCCGTGGCATTGGCCTCGCCGCTATTGAAAAATCAAGAATCAGACAGAGATCGAGGCTAACTTACATCCGATGTGGTGATGCTAACACTAAATTTTTCCACAGTAGAGCCAATGCACGACGGAGAAAGAACTACATACATTGTCTACATACGGAGGGGGGGATCGCGATGGCGCAGCAAGACAAAGAAAAGGTGATACAAGATTACTTTACGAACCACATCGGCTCCGTGGTACCGAGAGCGGCCACCATAAACTGGCAATCCCTTGGCTACATTCAACATGACCTCTCCGAGCTGGAGGTGCCTTTCTCACAAGAAGAAATAAAAAACACCATATATTCAATGCCTTCCGACAAAGCGCCAGGTCCGGATGGCTTCACGGGTGCCTTCTTCAAAGCTTGCTGGGAAACCATTAAAGAAGATGTTATGGCCGCAATGATCAGTCTATTCAATCTGAATGCACAGGGATTCGAGTGGCTAAATTCGGCATCCATAGTCCTTCTGCCAAAAAAAACCGATGCGGCAAGAGTCACTGATTTTAGACCCATCAGCTTAGTCCATGCCATCGCAAAGATCTTCTCCAAAGTGTTAGCCAACAGACTTGCCCCTCGACTCAACTCCCTTGTTTCGAACTGCCAGAGCGCTTTTATAAAACACAGAAGCATCCATGATAATTTTCTGTACGTCCAGGGCGCGGTAAAAAGACTACACAAGCATAAGCTTCCGGCTTTGTTCATGAAGCTTGACATCCATAAAGCCTTTGACACGGTGCATTGGGGGTACTTGCTTGAGACTCTTCAGCTCTGGGCTTGACACAACGATGGCGTGAGTGGATCTCCATCCTCCCACGTACATCCACTTCGACACCCATCCCGAACGGAAGACGGGGGCCACTTTTAGCCATGCCAGGGCGTCCCGCCAAGGGGATCCGCTTTCCCCATGCTTTTCATCCTAGCCATGGACCCGCTTCAACGGTTACTTGACACAGCAACCCAACAGGAGATACTCACCCCATTACCAATCACGGCGGCAAAATGGAGAACCTCATTGTATGCAGATGACGCGGCCATTTTCGTCAACCCCACGTGCGACGATGTGGAAGCCGTCAAAATCATCCTGCAGTGCTTTTGGCACATTCTCCGGACTTCATATTAACCTACAAAAGAGCTCAAGACATCCTATTGGTTGTGCAAACGTGGACCTAGACCAAGTCCCGGCACCTTTCACCGCACACTAGAGGGGGATTCCCATGCAAATATTTAGGCCTTCAACTACACTTTAGAACACTTTGCAAAGGATCCACGTGCAACCTCTCATAGACCGTATTGGGCAAAGACGCCCAAATGGAAAGGAAGACTACTAAACAGAAAGGGACGCCTCACTCTTGTAACCTCTGTCCTATCCTCCATGCCAACATACCACTTGGCAAGTTGTTTCCTCTAGCCGCTTGGGCTAAGAAAAGATAGACAAAATCAGGAGATCTTTCTTGTGGAAGGGGGACGAGAATGCAAATGGCGGCCATCGTCTAGTTAATCGGCAAACGGTTACCGTGCCGAAAAGACATGGGAGGGTTAGGGTCCCCGGACCTCGAAAGATGTGGGCGAGCCCTCCGTTTACGATGGCTATGGCACGATTGGGTGGACGACTCCAAATCTTGGAGCGGCTCGAGCTTCCATGTCTTGAGGATGACCGCCTTCTCTTCAACTCCTCAATCATTATTTCCTTGGGGATGGTGCAAAGACAAAGTTTTGGCACCACGGTTGGCTCGATGATCAAGCTCCTAAGTACCTAGCCCCCAACTTATTCCGCCTACTCTCAAGGACAAACCCGAGCGGTGCAAAGAAGAGCTCCGAAACAACAATTGGATGCATAAACTTGCAAGGAAAATCACCTCGCCCATCCACATAGAGGAGTTTGTGTCCCTCTGGATACGCATCAGGATGTGCACCTACAACAGGGGCATCCAGACACCATCACCGGGCGCGTTGGACCAACGATGGGAATTACTCCACCCGATCGGCCTCTCTGAGAATACAATTTAGAGGTTCGCTCCTCCACTTTGGTACGGACTTGATTTGGAAAGCGCATGTGGAGAAGCAGATGCAAGATCTTCGCATGGATCTTAGTACAAGACAAAATTCTAACGGCACAAAATCTACAAAAAAGAGGGTGGCCTCACCAACAACAGTGCGTGATGTGCAATGGACCTTTAGAGACAAGCCTCCACCTATGCCTTATTTGCCCTTTTGCAAAGGCGGTTTGGAATCAAATTCTCACGTGGGAAAACTTCACTCAAATCCAACAACAGCAAAATACAAACCCCACCCATATCAAGTCATGGTGGGAAGACGTGGCGGCAAAAGCGCCAAGAGCGGAGCGTCGAAGGCTTAACGGAGTAGCTATCTACACCTTTTGGAATATATGGAAAGAGAGAAACAGGAGAATTTTCGACAATAGGAGTGAAACGGTGCCGCAGGTAGCCGCAAGGATTAAGGAAGACATTGAGCAAAGGAAGAGAGCGCTCGATTGCATTTAGCTCGCATGCTTAAGGGGGGGGGGACTTTAACCTAGTTGCCTTTGCTTGTACATAAAACTTTCTTATCCAATCTTAATTGAAAGGCAGAGCTCCTGCCAGTACGTTCAAAAAAAGGAGATGGACAAAGCCTTGAGAAATACAACCATAAAGGTTCAAATTTTATCATCTATTGCACACTCTTTTAAACTGGTCTGTGGTGGATCGATACTCTTAACTAATGTATATCCTTTTTATTTTAATAACCAATCAATTTACAAACTCAATGAATTTTCTTTGGAAACAACACTACTCTAACCTTTGACCACACAAATCTCATATTACTCCCACTGGAGTTACACTGTTGACTACAAAATCCTTGCATTCTAGCTACGATGAGCCGTATTAATATTGTCATTTTGCAGACTAAAGCAAGGAAGGAGATGAATGCAGCAAATTTGATCGGTCAATATGCAAAAGTGTTGGATGTATAGATCGCATTATGCCTTCAGATATTACAACAACCGCATGGAAGTTCCAAGGCCATACTTTCGTCACATGGGTAAAAGGTTCTGACGAAGATGCTCAGCGGTGAACAGATTTGACAAAGGTGTGGTTGCACTGTGGTGACTGATGTACCTGCAACACTATTAGTTCTATGATAACAACTGCCTTGCAACCCACATGTTGATACTTAAGGTTCTGTTTAAGCACTTGTAATTAAATGAAGTGAAGAACCCATATGTAAAATTCAGTCAAATTTGGGCTAGGTGGGTGCAAGTTAGTATTAACAGTTTTTTTATAGTTACTTTAATGATTAATAGAAGAGATTCCAGGAACATTAGATTGTGTGTAGTGTGCATGTGCTCACTCGAATTGTGATTATTTGCGAATGCCAGCCGTTTCTTTTTCTCAGAGGAGAATTGCAAATGTATCGTTTATTCATGAGAGAGATCACTCTTTAGTTAGCAACGGCAATATACACGGAGAATATGGGGAACAAGTGCCATAAAAATAAAAAATGAAGTACACTACAGTCCAGGGCGATAGATGTATTCAATGCATATTATATTTGGCATCATCAGAGTTCATTCTTCGTTACCAGAAAGTGTACAACCACTACTTGCCTTTGCAGCTTCCTGAAGCGCACTTGATTATTCTCAATGCACATGGCTCTATATATATCTCAGACAAGGTGACAAGAACATACCTGCAGTATTGTAAATCTCCATAGCCGTTGGACTGACTCTCCTTGGACTTCCAGGAAGTAGGGAGCCATGTGGAGCAGCAAGCATTAGGTTAACTGTTATGAGGTACCAATAATCCATCCAAGTTAGCAACTGCTGTTTGCTACTGTGTGCGCATCCACTCATCTTAAGGTTCCCCCGTCATCTATTCTTCACAGAGTTAATTTGCCTGCCAGAAAAGAAACAAAAAAAATGATAAAATGTTGCCAACAAATTAATACAAGTAGAACTCTGCAACCAAGCCAGACCATGCACTGCACCTCCAAGAGAAATAGACCCCAATGGTTTTGACAGGATATTATATATAGCAAAATCAAGCACAGCAAGCAGCACCATCAAACCCTGTATTTGGTCTTTGGAGTCAATGATCTAGCCATATGCTGTAACAGGACAACTATTTAGCACCTAAGAGGGCATCATCTAAGATTCACAACGAAACCAGTTTGATGCATGCTAGAATATGGTGATTTGTATATGATCTCCCACTAAACTTTACACTTTATCCATCATCATGTTAAAAAAGATGCATTCCTCTGAACTAAACCATTAACGAATATTGGATTTCACACTAAATTAATTAGAAAAATGTCACGTGATGGTATAGGTTTCTGCACCTTTACATACTAAACAATCAGAAATTGCCTCCCAGGGTTAGTGTTCAGCTCATTGCTTGATTACAAACAAATCTGAGCACTTACCCATGTGCAAAAGTGGTGCTCCCATTGTTAATATATAAGGAGGTGCACAATAAAAGAGGGAGCCATGCACTGCACCATGGTTTTCTGAAGAAGAAGCATAGCCCAATCTCCCCACCACCACCTACACACACAGAGATGACGAATCTCAATTCTCAAGTTGGAGTACTGAGGAGAGGCGTCATCAACACCCTAATCGCCTTCTCTGTCATTGTCAGCTTTATCATCTTGTTCTACAAAGGCCAGGAAATACATGTGACAATCGGGGTCAAGCATGAACACCAAGAAATGCAGGCCAAGATGGCAGCTTAGCACCATGAACAACTGAGAGGAAAGCTCCCAGTCCCAGACGCCGGCAGGGAGGAGTGCAATTGGTCCACAGGACGGTGGGTCTACGACAACGTGTCCCGGCCATTGTACTCTGGACTCAAGTGCACCTTCATGTTCCCCGAGGTTGCTTGTGACAAATATGGCAGGAAGGATGTCATGTACCAGCAGTGGAGATGGCAGCCTCATGGATGCGACCTTCCAAGGTATGATAATCATAAACTTTCCTAGTAGAGTTGGGGTATTTGTAGCTCAATTTTGTTCTTCTGAATCCAAAAGTTCCACCAAATATAAAGTTGCAGAACTAGAGAAGCTGTGTCAGTGTCAGGATTTTTAAATAGTAACCTTTTTTTTTTGTTGTTGAAGCAGAGAAACATTCAGATGCTCTATAACTGGAACAGAAAACAAAGGATAGTATTGCAGAGGAAAAAATCTGTAATGGTTATCTCTTTCAAAAAAAAATCTGTGCTAGTTAAGATTGGAAGTTTTATCTAATTGCGGTGGATAGCTGGGTGGCCAACCAGAAACCAACTGCCATGAACATACTTTAGCTGGCCATCACATAAGGATACTAATTGGCAGTGAAATACCAAAGACGAGGAAAACTACATCTCTTCTTATTTTATGATTAATTACATTTGGTAACCCTGGAAAGCTAGAAAGGGATCAAATCAAGCATAAAATCCAGTCGTTGACCAAATTAAAGAGTGCGTCCAAAGTTTTGAAAAAAAGGATATGATGCATGGTATTTATGACACATCACCTGGATTTGGGTTTGAACAGATTTGATGCCATCAGGCTACTTGAAAAGCTGAGGAACAACAGGTTGGTGTTCGTGGGTGACTCTCTCAATAGGAACCAATGGGTTTCCCTGGTGTGCATGGTGGAGTCCTCTATACCTGATGCTAGGCACAAGATGCACAGCGTCAATGGCTCACTCCTTTCCTTCAAGGCATCAGTATGTTTTCCTTGATAAACCTACAGGTTACAGAAATCAACAATTTCGATTAGCATATTATAAACACTATTAATTTATCATTTTTAGAAAAGCGAATATATTAATATCCCAGCTTCTGCATCGACTAATACATATGGCTGTTCATTATTACAAGTAGGCATAAAACGGTCCAGGGAATCTCAAAAACAAAGTTTTGAGCCATAAAGACAACAAAGTTTTCAGAAGGAAAAACTAAAGAGCAATTCTGTTGCTAAAACTTCAGCCGTGTCTTGCGAACACCTCCATCATCATGGTACATCTCAATAGTTCTGCAACCCATCTTCATCTTATGGCGATCCTCCTCCTTCAAAGTAGGGACCAGTACCTAGTCCAATAAGTCCTCTTGAAGATAACCTGCAAATAAGATGGTGCTAGGGCCTTGTCAAACACAATATCATTCTGGGTTAACCAAAGCTCCCAGCAAATAGCACTTACACCCACAAGAATTTGAGATTTTATTTTCCTGTTTAACCCTTCCAACCAACTTGTAAACAAATTGTGTACACTATTTGAAGGTTTTAGGTTAAAAGAAACATGAACAATTCTCCACAAGAATTTGGCATAATGACAGTCAAAGAATAGATGTTGTGTGGACTCGTTGGAGGAACAAAAACAACACTTCATATCTCCTTGTCACTGCTGCATAGCTAAATTATCTTTCGTTAAAATTACATCCTTGTAGTACCATATAAAGACTTTAATTTTGAGAGGTAGTTTAAGTTTCTAAATTAAAGTGTTATATGGTAAAGCCTGTACACCTAACAAAGCTCTGTACATGGAATTGACTGAGAACAACTCATTCTGATGCAGCCCCCACACAAAGCGATCTCTCTGATTTCTTAGATGTACATCTGCAACCATGGCCACCACATTGTGCCACGCTTGCAAATTAACGCTCATAAGATATCTCTTGAAAGCTACATTTAACAGTGTCATAGACAGTACATTCCTAACAGACGTATTTTTCTTTCTCACAATGTTATATAGTGCCGGGAAGAGCGTTTTCAATGGGCATGGCGTTATCCACGAATCCTCCCAAAAACGCACCTGGGACCCATCACCTAGATCAAACCTACCCATCGAAAGGAACTCATCCTTGACCTTCATGAGGCCAGTCCAAAACTGAGAGTCCCCGGGCTTGTATTGAACCTGTGTCAAAGTTTTATCCCTTAAATATTTATTCTTAAGCAATTGTTGCGAAACCCCATCTCCATTTAACAATTTGAAAAGCCACTTGCTTAGGAGGCACTTATTATGAACATCTAGATTTAGGATCGTCCTTGGTCTTTAGGTGTTCATACTACCTCCCACTTTGTCGGTCTATATTTTTTCTTGTGTTCATCACTCTGCCGAAAAAACCAAGATCTAAAATAATCCAACTTCTTCAAAACCCCTCTAGGTATTTCAAAAAAAGACATCATGAACATGGGAAGACTACTTAGAACCGAGTGAATGACAACCAGTCTCCCTCCTACCGACAACATCTTACTCCTCCAACCACTCAATCTCTTTTAAAATCTTTCTTCAACATGTTTCCAGTCCTTATTCATGAGCTCTCTATGGTGCATAGGAATTCCTAGGTATCTAAACGGGAATGATCCTGCATTACACCCAAAAATTTGTGCATATTCATTTTGATTATTTTTGGCTGCTCCATAACAAAACAATTCACTCTTATGGAAATTAATCTTGAGTCATGATAGTTGTTCAAAAGCACAAAGCAGGAGCTTCATGTTTTTGGCCCTCTCTAGATCATTGTCCATAAAGATAATAGTGTCATCCATGTACTCAAGGACTGAGAGTCCTTCATCTACCAAATGCGGAACCACTCCTTGGATTTGTTCGGCCTCTTTTGCTCGTGAAATCAGAATTGTCAGCATGTCAACCACTATATTAAACAAGATTGGAGATAGCAGATCCCCTTGGCGCACTCCTTTTCTTGTTTGGAAGTAATGGCCTATATTATCATTGACCTTTACTACAACACTCCCTCTAGTCATGACTTTTGAAATCCATTCACACCAAACTGGTGAGAATCCTTTCATTCTGATGACTCATTATATAAAAGGCCACTTTAGTTTATCATACGCTTTTTCAAAGTCTAGTTTTAAGATCACTCCATCTTGTTTTTTCCTATACAACTCATGTATTGTTTCAAGTAGTATAACAACTCCTTCCATTATATAGCGCCCCGGAATGAAAGCCGTCTGAGATGGACCTATCAGTTTATCTGCCACTTTCAAAATTCTATTGTTTAGCACCTTTGTAAAAATCTTAAAAGACACATTTAAGAGACAAATAGGCCTATATTGTTGTATCCGGATCGCGTAAGTGATCTTGGGTAATAGTGTAATTACCCCAAAGTTTAAACTATGAATGGGCAGTCTCCCTGCATGGAATTCATAAAAGAGGTTCATCAAATCTTGCTTGACAACATCCCAAAAGAACTGGTAAAATTCTACAGGAAAGCCATCTGTGTCAGGTGCCTTGTTATGTTCCATATCGAAGACTGCCATTTTGACCTCCTCCTCGCTGAATGGAGCCACCAATACTTCATTCAACTCCTCCGACACTTGAGGTATGTCATGCCTCAAAGTTTCGTCCATTGAGAAAGAATTCTGTATATGAGGTCCAAACAGTCGTTTATAATATTAAGTTGTATAGTCTTTCAAATTCGCATCCCCAACAATAATTCCTTCTTCCTGTTCTAGCTGTATGATTTTTGTTTTTCTATGTCTCCCATTTGCCACCAGATGAAAATACTTAGTATTATCATCCCCTTGCAATAACTTTGTTGCTTTTGATCGCTGGAGCCAAAAGATCTCCTCTTCTCTCAGCAACTTAGTTAATTGCCCTTTAAGATGATGTCTAAGCTCCACCTCCTGAGGTGACAACAAACTTGTTTCTGCCTTTCTATCAAAGATATCTATCTTAGCCATCAGGTCTAATTTATGTTTCTTGTTTTGGGAAACCATATTTTTAGCCCAACCTCTAAGAAAACGCCGCAGCCTTCTAATCTTATTTTGCCACCGTTCCATGGGTGATCTACCTCTATTCTCAGACTCCCAAACCTCTTTTACCAGATAAAAAAACCATCCCTTGTTAGCCACCCTAGTTCGAATTTAAAATTCCTAACGTTGCCTCTGTGAGATCGTTCCCCTCCATCTAGTAAAAGTGGTGTGTGATCGGAGATTTCTCGGGTGAGAGCCTGGACAGTAGCTAACGGAAATTTTTGTTCCCAGTCAGTTGTCACCAAGATACGGTCTAACTTTTCATAAGTTGGAATTTCAGCATAATTAGCCCATGTGAATTTTCTACCCGTCATCTCTAGTTCCCTTAAATTCAAAGTTTCAATAATGGCATTGAAGAGAACTGGCCACTTAGTATTATATCTTGATTTTTTTTCCGACGGGTTCCTAACTATATTGAAATCCCCCCTACTAGGAAAGGTAGATCCCCGCAACTGATACATGCTCATACTAACTCTGATAAAAAGTTCTCTTTTTGCTCTTCTTGTGCTGCTCCATATACAGACAAAAGGGCCCATCGAAAACCATCTATCTTATTTCTTAATACAAACTTGATATGGTAGTCACCATCAACAATATTTTCTACTTCAAAACAATCTTGATTTATTCCCATTAGCATCCCCCGGACATACCCCAAGGACACAACCAATGCCAAACGAAATCAGCCCCCGCACAGAAATTTTCCAGACACTGAGTCGAGAAACTATTTTTGTGATAAAGCTATAAAATCAAGTCTATTATCTTCGGCCACATCATGTAAAAAAGTATGTTTAGCAAGGTCGCGCAGACCTCTGCAATTCCAGAATATCCCTTTCATTAGAACATTTTTTTCTTTACAGGTACCTTCCTATTGAGGAGCTTCTTTATCTTCCTATTTTTTGCCACCTTGATGGATATGTCAACAAGTACTCCATCAAGGCCCGCAATATTATCGTCCATCACCTCCTCCATCAAGTCGCCACAGAGTCGACTGATAGTGGAAAGGAATACAATGCAACCATAGACTTCTACTGGTCACCACTGCTGTTGGAGTCCAATGGCGACAGCCCTACCATCCACTGGTTGGAGTACAAGATCATATGGGCAGACAGGATTGAGAAGCATGCTAGCGCTTGGAGAGATGCTGACATCATAATCTTTAATTCTTATGTGTGGTGGAGGAAGCATAAGGCTGACATGAGGATGAAGGTTATGTAAGTTCCAACAAACTCAGAGTTTTTGCTTGGCTTCTTCTCATGGATAGGCTAAATACAAGGAACATTCTCAAAAGGAAAAAACACAAGCTAGAAGGCAACAACTACAATTGTGTCCTATGCAATAACAATGTTGAAGAGACGGCTTTCCACCTATTCTTTAGCTGTTCTTTCAGTCAGGCTTGCTGGAGATTCCTACGTATTCATTTATCTCTTGGAAAAACAATTGTTTGTGTTAACACAAGAGATGGCTTTCCACTTGTTCTCTTGCTGTTCATTGGAACCTTACAAGTGATTTTGTTCCAAATGATGATGCAAGCAAAGCTACAGCTTCGAAACCCCTTCTTCATGGAGATCTTCATCATTGCCTCCTAGCATATTTGGAAGCAGAGAAATAACTTCATCTTTGATAGAGGATGCCCATCCTTTATCTCTTGGAAAACCTCCTTTTATGAGGAAGCCAAACTTCAAGCCTTTAGACTTAGTGAAGAAAAACGACATGCTTTTCTCCTCTATTTAGACCCCCTCTCCTAGTTCTTTCTGCTTCTCTAGAGTGCAGTTTCTCCTGCCCTCTTGCTAGTTGTGTGGATTAGTTCTTTTAGCCCCTCCTTACTTTGTATAGTTTTTTCCTCTTTTTGAAAATTAATAAAAATCTCTTACAGTGGGGGTCTCCCGAGCTGTATTTTTGGGTCAAAAAAAAGGTTATGTAAGTTCATTCCTTTACTTCCTACTCATATCTAAGTAAGGTTATGTAAGGTCACACAACCTCATCTTCACATTGCCACTTTGAAACAGTTGAAAACTTATCCATTATGTAAAAAAGAAAAGTTCAAAACTTATCAAATACAAGCAAAGAGAAGTTTTTGAAGGCAATGAATACGAGGAGCATATTTTGTATGGGCAGGTATGGTTCATTTGAGGATGGTGATGCAAGGTTAAACACAGTGGAAATGATATATGGTTTCGAGATAGCTCTCAAGAAACTGACTGAATGGCTTGGAGAGAATATTGACAAGAACAAGACTAGAATCTTCTTTGCAGGATCATACCTACACATTCATGGTGAGTGAGAGGAGAGCAATACCCTTGCATCTTGTGTTAACACAAACAATGACATAGTAGAACACCATCTCCATCAAACATGAAAGTGATACGTATGCATATATGTTTTTCAGGGCTAGCAACTGGGGTGGAGAAGATAGGAACAAATGTCTTAATGAGACAGAACCGATCTACAAAGTCGGATACTGTTGGTGTTTCGAGCTACCAACTAGTAAATTTCTAGATTATGCGTCTGGCTTGGATGGTGTGCTTAGAGGACATGAGGTTTATACTAGTTCGGGCAGAAAGTCCCTGTGTCCAGTTCGTCGCTGCTGCTCGTGTTACTAGCACTGAAGGTTTGTAGTAGGGGTTACAAACGAGTGAGAGAGGGACAGGTCCCAAATCTCTGATGTGTGCGTGTGCTACTAAGACGTGTTAGGATGTGTGTTTTTATGTCTACCGCCGTGTAGTCGTATACAGTTGTGCCCTTCACGGGGCATCCTGCTTCCCCTTTTATGGACGAAGTGGAAGAGCAGGTTACAGAGAGAAAGGGGGACAAGAGCCAAGTAGAGGAAGGCTTCCAGTACCACCGAGCCTTTCTCCTCCTTTATGTGGGTCCCGCTGACACTATAGATGGTAACTGGGATGGCTCCACACCGGGCGTCTGTTCACCGCTGATGCCACGCCCCAGCGTTATCAGCGGGTCGTGGCGTCCCATTCCGTCTCGGCGGGTGGCGCGGCGAACCAGCGAGCTGGTCAGCGGCCGTACAGGGAGTAGGCAGCATAGTGACCACGCGTCCATCACTGTTGGTGATGTGAATTCCCTGGAGCGACATGTCGCAGGCATGGGTCACGTCGAGATGTGCCCGCTCCCTGCACGGTGCCAGAAGTTTGACCTTGGGTTGCACTTTCTGTCCCGTATTGGTTGGCGATGATACAGGCATCTGTCGGGAGCCACGCCTGAGGGGTCGGGTGAGGTGGAGCTTGTGCGCCTAGGGGCTGGGCGAGGCCATAGTCGCGCACGTGACTGCTCGGGTGAATCAATATTAATGACCATTAGCTCCTCCTCTTCGGGTACCCTAGTATTGGTCCCCAATAGTAGCCCTCGAGCCCCTGGGTGATTCAGGTAGAATCGCCCGAGGGATTTTTTTTACTCGCCAGTGGTTGCGCGTGAGCGCACCCAGTGGGTGTAGCCCTCGAGCCTGCAGAGGAGTGGAATACTCTTCGGAGGTTTTTCTGGACAGGAGGACTCTAAGGGCCTTGGCCCTATTTTGTCGCCCATGGCGTGTCCTGGTGGGACAACGATTCCCTTTCGTCGTGATTGAACCTCTTAGGGGTATAGCCGTGAGATTCGGTGGGTCGGAAAAAGGTATCTCCTGATTCCGACGACTATGGGGGTCTGAACGACCTACCATCATTCTGCGACCGTGTGTTCGGTCTCCTTGCGAGTCCAACTTTCCTCGAGCCCCCGCATGTAGCAGGGGTCCGGTTGAGGGTCGGCTCTTCTTTGTGATCGTCTTCCCTCAAGTATTTTTTTGATAAAAACGGAGGGGCTAAGCCATGCCATGATTTTCCTCTATGGATGAATCATGGTGCTCAGTGAGCTATTAACAGGCTAGTCCGAGTGGGGCCCCGGCATTCCGTTCATGGGGGTCTGGCTTAGGTCAGCTGTTGACTGGTCTAGACTCTCAGCGGTAAATCCATATAGTTCTCGGGTCCGTTCGACTGGTCCTGAGAGCTCTCTGCCTTTCTTCGAGGAAAAACCATGGATTGTGTCCGGCCGAGACTCGAACGTGGGTTGGGATGCCCATGGCGTGGGGGTATTGGCCACTAGCGGGCCCATCCCTTTCCACCCCTCACTTTTAAGGCGGCCCAGAGTGGTTGTCAAGCCCGTTGGTGGGCCTAGAAGGGACGTAGGAGTGTTTTCAGCTCCGTATCCCTCTTACCTGCGACGGGTCCGTTCAGGAAGCCAAAACGTTCGGTGCATTTTCTGAGGGGATGGGCCAGAGGTTGCGTGTGCACACACCGCAATGAGACAGGGTGACAGGTCATGGAGGGCGCAGAGATCTATGTGGGCGGTTGGTTTTCTCGCACCCATCACCCCTATAAAAACCAAAGGGTTAGCCCTTCGTGTTTCATACGCACGCCTGCATCCTCACCTCCGTAGCTACGCCGCCACCACCAACGCTAGGGTTCCTTGCCCCCGCATCCTCGCTGTCATTGAGCTCGCCTTCATCCACCCCCGCTTCTGATGGATCCGTGGTGCCGCTCCGACATCACCTTCCAGCGCAAGGAGGGTCATCGTGGTCTTCTCCATGCATGGACCGTAGCTGAGGAGTGGTTGCTGCCTGGCAACGAGGATTCGCCATCGTAGCCCAATGGCTACGTGGTGTCGTTCGCCCACTTCCATGAGCGTGGGCTCGCGACCCTATCCACAAATTCCTCCGAGGGCTGTTGCACTTCTACAAGATTGAGCTGCAGCATCTCAATCCCAACGGGATCCAACACATGGTGGCATTCGTCGCACTGTGCGAAGGATTCCTGGGGATCAGCGCTCACTTTGACTTGTGGAGGTACTTCTTCGCCGTCAACCTCCAAAAGAAAAGGGAGAAGGGCGGCAAGCAGGAGCTACACATGCCGATGGGGTGCGCCGGCATCCAGCTTCGGAACAATCGGGTCGACGAGTACCCATCCATGCGGCTCTTGACAGCCAACAAGGGGTGGCACTCGCAGTGGTTCTACCTCAAGAACAACGCTGCCGCCCCTTTGCCCAAGTTCACCAGGCGCCTGATCGAAGAAGCCTCAGAGCCGTGGAGCAAGTGGGGTGTCCTGGAGAAGGACAAGAAGAGGATCCGAGACCACATCGCCGCCATCCACATCCTGAAGGAGAACGGACTGAAAGGGTCAGGCGTCATCGGGGCTTACCATGCGAGGAGGGTGGCGCCATTGATGACGTGTGCGCTGCCGCTATACACGATGGCGCCTGAGGCGTCGTTCGATAGAGCATCGCTCGCTGAGGGAATGCTACCCAACACTGAGATCACGCAACGCATCAAGGAGGCGATGGAGCCTCTATGGGATGACACAGGTGTCATCCTTGACTTCGTGTACCCGATGCCGGGGCATCCCGTGATGTGGCCGGAACCAGGCTACATCATCTTCATAAGTTTCCCTTTCTCTTGCCTCTCCTTCAGTTCATTTCCTGACCCTATGAGACTAGCTTTGAGAGGGGCAGGACTAGTCGAGGGACCTCATCCTCACGGATCACCCGGCATCGCTGCCGAGGGATTTGGCCATGAGGGTGGCAAATCGTGCTGAGGGCGAGCGGCTGAGGAAGGCAAAGGAGGACAAGAGTAGAGAGAAGCAGCGGCAGCTACGAGCATGGGAACGAGGGGAGGACACCGACAACGATGATGGCGATGATGATGGCAATGACAGTGAGGTGATGGAGGAAGAAGAAACGGTAGCCGATGATATCGAGTGGGACAACCCGGAAAACGAGGATGCACTAACAAGCATCGGTTCATCCTTGCAGGTGTCGGGACCCTTCTCGTTCCACAAAGGGGAGGGCACGTCTAGGGAGCCGGTGGAGGCGGGCCTTTTCGTCGATGCCCCCCAGGAACCAACAGAGGTGGGTGGCTTCGTCGTTGCGCCCTAGGAGCCAGTGGAGGTGGGCAGCTCCATCGATGTGCCCTAGGAGCCATCAGGGGCAAGGCCCTCTACCCAGGAGCAGGGGGCACGCTTGAAATGGATTCATTCTGATGAGGCAGAGTAAGGGCCAGGGGGTTTGTCCCCCAAACGCATCTGTCGTCCAACGGCGCCGAGGTGCGTCGACTCCTCTATTTTTTCTGTTTTAATCGGATTTCATTGTCACTTATGTTTGTCGCCCCTTGCAGTGCTGGCAGGTATCCAAGGGAGATTGCGGATAATGAAATCATTACTATCTGCGCCACCGGCCTAGCAAGCAAGCTGATAGTCCTCGATCCATAGCCTAGGGTTCATTTCCCCGGAGTACTTCAGGACATTGGTCGGTGGCCGGAATCGCGGTGGGAAGGGTGCATTGAGGATGTGTCGGCCAAAGGCCTAAGGCCCCAGGAGGCTAGCGCTCGGGCTCTGGTCTTCGCCGCTGTCATAGCGTCCACCGTGATGAGGGTGGTAGCCAGGGCTGGCCGCCTCTCCCTCGCCGCAGCGAGCACTCCTATGGGCATCCAAAGTGTTGTGCGCGTCACGGTGGAGGCCTAGATGCTCATGCACCGGGACAGCGGAGCACAACCTATCGTCGTGCTGCACCTGGTGGACGAAAGCGTCCCTGTTGGGTCGCTCCGAGGGTGCGCACTAACTGGCGTCGAGCTCGTGTCATCGGGACAATGAGCTCTCCACTTGCTATGCCACTACACGCTCGACCAGTGTGCAAATCTCACGGTGGGCCCGACGATCTTCGAACGTCGTGGGCTCAGGGAGCCCTCGAAGCAAGGCTACCACGGCCGCTATGTTTTGGCTCGCTCGAGCGAAACATAGGAGGCCCCCATCGTCCTCGATGATCCTCTAGTTCACCTCACGGGCCCTAGCACTTGCGCGCCCGCCATCTCCTCACCGTGCGATCTCCCACTCGAGTGCCACACGTTCTTGCTCGAGTTTGAGCCACGCCTCCTCGAGCTCCTGGCGTCATGCTCGTAGTTGTTCCCCCCGCATGTGTTGAAGAACCCCCATGCCTTTGTCGTTGTCATCGTTGTTGCGTGGTGGGTCAGGCCCTCCCTCATGGATATTCTCAACATGCCCCTCGGGGGTCTCCGCCATGAAGCATTCCCACGAGGGGTGGTAACTCCCGCTGCTAGAGTCAAAGTCGGAGAACGACTCTAAGTCTCCCGCGAGAAGCTCGTGGAATGACTTCGTGACATACTCTGTCATCCCTACGAACTCCTTGTTCGCAAGGGGTGAGTGGACGTGTTGTGCCATGAGGTGGCCAGTGGTCCATGCAGCATTATGCAGGCCAAACGGGAAAGCCGTCGCGACGCCCTAGGTGAGATGT